ATACAGCCAACTCTTTTCCCTGGATTCAAACTCCGGCCCAACTTACCAGTGTTCAGCAACGTTACCGCTCGGCTAGCTGGTTGGCTTTAGAACGAAGGATTTTTATCAGAAATTTAAAAACCAGAATTCTCTAATAAATTAGCTACAATGTCGTTTTGATTTCCTTACTAAAGCCACGTATCAGTGAAAAACAGACTAGAAAAAATTAAGAAACCAACAGGAATCCGATTCATAATTAAGAACAATTTCACAATTTAAATATTTAAGCATAACTTAAGGTAAAAAATAAATAGACTTTTTAGCAGCAGGTAGTATAAATAATTTTATAAAACGAAGAAAATAATTATTTGGGACAAACGTTCCTTACAGTTTAAGGATTAAACGATAATGATCAAAATCCTTTCAGCGTATAATGTTTTAGAGTAGTTTTTCCTTCTAACGCAAGGGTTTAGAATTCAGAAAGCATATTATTATATTTCAAGTATTATGGAAATTAAAGTATACAAAAATGTCGACTGATATCTTAATATTACATACAGCAACACAATAGAGCATTTCATCCATATCATTACTTTGATACAAATGCCGATACACAAAAAGTTATCATAAAAAAAGTAAAGAAATTTACTCAAATTTTTCTCTCAAATTTTTCTCATCACTCAAATTTTTCTCTTTAAATTTGCATTGATTAATTTCATCATCAAAATTAGAAGCTAAATGCCTTTAAAATTACAAAGAATGAATGTTCAAGAATACATATTACATAACATTATCAAAATTGTATTTCAAATGAATGTGATGGTATAAGAGCTTTCTTAAACTTTTTCCCATTCTCAGTTAAATCTCTGCTCTAATGAAATTCAAATACTGGTCCAGATAAAAAGAATTCGTGTCATGTATGAAGAAAATACACATGCTCAAAGCTACTGCAATCATCACTCTTAAGTCATAATTCTTTCAAAATAGGCACTCACATCACTTATAGGTATCAGTGAAACCATTTGGACAGAGAATAGAACATATACCAAATGGGCTTCAGAGCTAATTATCTAATGATAGCTACAGTGTTTATTTTATTGAAGAAATGACTAGGACAAGTTTCAGTATTTTATTTCTATTTCAAATTGCAAGCTTCATGATTAAGATGCCAGTTTTCTATCATTTTATTTGTAAGTTTCTTATGTTTAACCAGTTATTATGATTTTGATCTTTACTTTAACTTCTTCTTTTCGTATTCTTCAGCAGAATGCAAATTAGCATTAAGTGTACTTAAGCTTAGTGTTTTGGATTTTAGACAGAGAGCTTCTGGCACTTGCATATCTCTGTTAGATTTTACCTGCTGTATCTAAAAAATATTATCCCGACTTTTGGCTTCTGTCGCAGTTTATTGCTTTAAAAACTTAAGCGCAAGTAAATTTAGTTGAACCAGCTTAGAGTTTATTGCCTGCGTAGTCTTAGTATTCTACGTTTTTTTAATCAACATTTAAACTGAAGTACCTATTAGTGATTAATTTACATTGCCTCAAGTAATGGTTTATTTCTAACACAAATCGTGCCTTTTGCAAGTTTCTGACATACGATTTTCAGATGTAGCGGTAACTCACTAGTTGTCTAGTAGGGTTGTAGGACTAAATTTCAAGTATCAGCTCAACTGCAGCCTTACATATTAAAATGATATCAATTGGAAGGTATTTTTTCAAACTAGATATTTTGAATGAATGACTTAATTGTTAGTAAATTATATGTTATTATTTTATGAAATTTCACTTTATAGATTACACAGAATACTTTATATCAGTATAACTAATTCAGTTCACAGAAATAGTGAGAAAATCAATCAGTAAATAGTACTTAGCAATAATTGTTTCTCTCTGAATTTTTTCCGAATCCATCGATTTTAAATTCTTGATTCCCAATACAATTTCAGGCTTTCTAAATATGAAGGCCAACAGCATTAATATAGCTTTGGTTAAGTTTTATAAGATAAGATTTTATAATATTTAACAATCAAGAATATTTACAGATACACAGATATATAAATAATGCAAATACGGTTAAAATACACGTCATTTTTGTGACAGCTATTTTGTTATCTTTATCGTCATATTCACTATTGTGATTTTTTTATAGTAATTATTACATAGAAATTATTAGTCAGATTTGTTTCAGTAATAAACATATTTAATAGTAATGATAGACAAAATTAAACGTAATTACTTATTAATAATTTAACAATTAAAATTACAAACATATTTTACTGCTTTCTTCAAAATAATTAAAAGAAAAGTTGTGTTTGAAAATCGGTTAGGACAAAATAATCCCATTTTCGTACAAGCTAACCTATTTCTTTCCGTTTGTGATCGTCAGAAACAGACATAAATAGAGCTTATGGTACTCAGCGTTAGATCTCGCAGCAATCTCCACCGGCATTCAAGACAACGTGCCTATAGTTATACAGAGCTCTGGCGATACAATTTGGCGACCTTAGATAGAAAGAAGTCAAGTGCATGCCCCAGATCTGCCTCGTTGTCAAAAAATTTCACAGGAAGGTTGCTGTCCGAGCAATGGAATGGGTGGTAATTTGTGGACACAATTTGTGTGTCGAGAAGAGCGTCTTCTAGCAAATCGCTGAATGGTATCACTTATCGTCTTTGCCTCGTGTGTATGCCCTGTCGCGCTTGCCCTCCACTGTCGAGGAGATACAATATACCCTTGTGATTAAGCAATGTTGGCTTCTTCTGTTGTAGTAATGTTGCACCTATTGCAATGGGTGCAAGAACAGGTCCCGTGATAATGCGGTCTGATGGGAGTAGCTAGTAAAGTACCACTTGGCAACTTGTCCGCCAGACACACAGCATAGTCTTGCATGTGAGCAGAGGTAGTTTTGAAATGTGAGATACAGAGACATGCAGTTACTGTATGTACTCCCAAGCGTACCATCAGTGACAACCCACTATATATCATATACTATATCAGTTGTCACTGATTGTACTCTTGAGAGTATCACACTGAACTCACTTTTCATCGCTCCTGAGAACTCAACCAAATATGGTTATGTTGCGCTGATAACAAACAGGCAGTCACTCTTTATTTATTTATTTATTTTTTGTTGGCTCCTGCAACTAGAGCTTGGCGGTGATTTAGTTCATAGCATCCTCTTCAAATGCCTGACATATTCAACGACTTAAATGTGGCTGCTGAAAGGCCCTGTTTAAGTCATTTGCATTTTTCTTCGACACAGGGTGAACTGTGATTGCTGTGTATGCGCCACGTGCCTCATAGATCTAGTCAGTGCCTGTTAGCGCTTGTTAGCATTAACCCTTCATCGCTTTTCAGGGAAAAGAGTCAATTCGCTTCCTCTCTGTGAGCACTTCATCAAATGGAATATCAAAAATGGTAAAACCCTTTTTGATTATATTGTTCATTTCTTTCTGTTGACTTAACATTCGCTTACAGTTTCATAAAAATATACTTTAGTTCCATTGATTGATTTATGACTACTAATTTGTGTGTTTTAAGTGATTACATAGTACTAGTTTAGAATTTGGAGCACACAGTAGTTCCTGAAAATTTATTTAGGAAATTCCCAACTAGAAATTTCCTAAATATTGTAATTTAAATTTTTTAACTGATAAGCAACAAATGCATTTATGATAAAAATACATACAAATAAATTCTATTTTATATCATTCTGCTGCGATACTACTTAGAAAATTACTTGGTCACTTAGATTCATAGCGCATCTTTCTTTACTACATTCAGCAATGACTGAAGACATCTGTTCTGTGGTTTAGTCAACAGATGCGTCTAGGCCTTTAAACTTTTCATAAAACATGTTACTTCTAACATGAAATATTTTAATAAAATATGTATACATTTATGGCATGAATCATTTTAATGAAATGTATATATTAATGGCATGAAATTTAAAAGCATTTCAGCTCGGATAAAAGCATTTCAGCATTCAGAAAAACATTTCATAAAAGCATTCAAAAAAAGCATTTCAGCTTGTATAAAATGAGATTGAGGGAAAAGGAATTAAGCGCATTAGGTTTTCAGACTATTCTTTTAAGACTCTGGAAGTTCAATTTTTATTGACTGGTCGCTTGTGAATCTTTAAAAGGGTAATCCGTAAAACGAATCTCTATATAACACACATAACATTTATTAAACATTACATAACGTAGCATAAAAGAAAAAGAAAAAAGAAGGTTTTCCGAAGCGACGTTCTAAAAACATAATTTAGAAAACACGTTTAACTAACTAAACGTGCAAAAATTTCAAACTCTTCTTATTTTGCAGAAAAATTTCAAATTCCATTCCAGTTGATATACTGGTCAGTTGACTAATATATTATGGAAAAGCAAGTCAGAACCATCTGTCCTAGGAAGGATATGCTCGTCGAGAAAAGCAAAAGAAAACTGGTCCATATTTTATGCTCAGGAAAACAATGAAATTCTCATGAGGCAAATCCATTTAGTTATCTAGAACAAAACGCGGAATACAAGTTCCGGCAGCTTTAGTTACTTACTGTATTTTTATTATGGGTTCTTGTTCTCAAATTATCGTATATTCCGGTTATAAATACACCTACAAATACAAACTATGCAGTATATCTAACAATCTAGATAGAACTGAAGATGATTATTTGCTTATGGATCAAAGTAACAGCGATGGTGAAGATGAAACAGAATTCGATTATGTGCCTGAAGATGCAACGGAAGATGAATATAACGAAATTTTCATGTTATCCGATAGTGAAAATTTTTTAAATTCATAAGGTATGCCATTTCTTTTTAAGCAAATAACATTGTTAATAATAGCATTTATAAATAGCATTTACGTAAATTTAGAAATCTAACTTATGTTCATCATTTCCTTATTTTAAATATATAATTTTTATGTTCGGCGTATAATACACATCCTTGAAATTCTATCTTATATTTTGTACTAAAGGCGTGCGTTATACACAGGAGCATATGGTAATAAAGGTAAATTACCTTTTCGCCTTTATCGCCTTTAAATCCTGGTAAGCCTGCAACGCCATCACGGCCATCCAGTCCGTTGTCACCCTTTTCTCCTGGATATCCAGTAATTCCCTACAATAATTTAAATAAAATATTGCATAACATAAAAACTAATTTCTTCAGAAATAAAACACATTCATGAAGTTTAAAATAATAGCAGAAAGCCTAAAACAATACAAAAGGTCTTTCCCGATATATGATTTTTTAGAGGCCTATCCGCTCAACCAACCAAAATGAATCAATAGTTCTGTGGAGTTGCTTACTATTAAAAGCTAATGATAAGTGGGCGAAAACGAGTCAGAATCTCAAAGCTTATATGTGTAACGTGAATTAAGTTCAAATAATTTGAGTTAATTATAGCCCCACATGTAGCACCAGGCAATTTTAATAACGTTTATTTTAACTGCAAATAGTATCAAATACATCTTTAATTCTTTTTATGTTTTGTATCGCTGAAACTCCGTGCATACACGTAACAGTTTGCAATGATGATAATTCACCTGAGTACGATAAGTTTATTTAATATGAGGGAAGCCAAGTTATATCAAACCTTATAATTGTAAGCAATGCTATTCGCAAACAAGATTGTGTTTCTTTCATAGTTCAGAAATGAATTATCATTTGAACAAGTATGGGAAAATTAACAGTCTCTAACATTACCATAGTCTGTTGAAGTAAATTTAAAATAAATAGGTAAATAATTAAAACAATAATTACAAACAATTTAAAGAAGAGTCTTACTTGATCTCCTTTTTCCCCTTTTTGACCGGGCTCTCCTCTTTCTCCTTTCTCTCCCTGATAGCCCCTTTCTCCTCTGACACCAGGAGGACCCGGTAAACCGGGTGGGCCCTGCACTCCAGGCACACCTGGGCGTCCAACGTATGGACCAAAAGGGCCATCTCCAGAACTAGGATATAACCCAGAACCGTAGGCACCGTCTAGCTATTAAGTATACAAATCAAAAATAGGTTATAACTTCAAAAGCATTGATTTAAGTTTTGCATAAATGGTTTAAACTTACAAAAGTACACAAATTCATCATGCTGATGATAAAATGTAATCGAAATGTTCGCCATTTTCTTAAGTAAGTTCAAGTTAAGTAAACTAACTGAAATGCGCTTTATGAATTATATGTGAAGTCAATTAATTTTGTTTGAAATAGTATCAGTTTGTAAGCATTTCTCGTTAGGTTTTTTTAAGGACAAATATAGAAAATCTTTTTAATTCTTAAAATTTTTTTACTTATGTTAAATTATTTAGCAACTAAAAAACTTACATCGAAGGGATTTCCATGTCCGTTAGCCAAACCCGGGGGTCCTGGAGGACCAGGCATACCGCGAGGTCCTGGACTGCCCGGTGTACCATCAACTCCAGGTTCACCCTTTTGTCCTTGCAGGCCAGGAGGACCAGGTTGACCTTGGTCACCCTAAAAAAATAGAGATACATGTTTTTAGTAATGAGAATTATTGATTCCTCAAAATATGATCAAAATATAAACTGAAACTGAAAGCAATTTGCAAAATTAATGTACCTCTTGGTTAGATTACTTAGTACAATTTTAGATAAATTTTGGTATTCAAAAATTAGCACAATGTGTTTGTTATTCAAACGATTTTTTGTTAATGAAATTTAGTACGAAAATCGGTACAAAACGCTACGGCAAAGGAAACAGAAGAAAAATAGATTATGGATTATATAATCGCATTATCATCAACAAAGCCGAAACAAACTTCGAAATATTTAACGGGTTGTTGTCTATCGGTTCACCAATGTGCACAGTATTTAATGACACACATTTAAATATGCGTAAACTTTTGCTACAATCTTTTTACAGCAATATTTATAAATTTTTAAATAATATTGTTGCGCTTTTTTCTGACACCTGTTGTTATGTTATTTTTTTCCTTCAATTCGAACGGGGTTCGTGCGGATTTGGAATGAATAATGACAACAGCACTTGATGAAGTATCCAAACACAATTTATTTCCCAGTATTATTCAAGAAAGCTCCAAAATCACGTTTACAGTCGTCGAAGAACTACTATAAAACTCGCTGGAACAATCAGCGACACAGCCTTCAGATTATCAGACTATCACAGAGAAGACAGCTTCACTGAAAAGCACCAGAGTACAGTTCACGACTATCTTCGGTCGTTCTCGGAACTCCACGTACTCTCGAGACTCTCCATGCTACAACTCGCGATGCATTCGAAGATACACTAGAGTACAGCTCCCGACTCTTCTGTTCAGTTGTTCCCGGAGATCAACGCACTCTCTCGACGATGCACTAAACACGATACACTAAGAGACTCTTTCGATGCCCTCGACGACATACTCAGCTGTAAACTCGATCGAACTCCGCACGGACTAACTAGATTAGTCCTTGCGGAGACACTGACTCAATGCGTACGAGCAGGGTTTATATAGCTTTTGGCTTGTGATCAAGAACATGCTGGGGTAAACCGGTAAGAATTCGTTCTAGAAGGTTTCCATTCGTCCATGGCTTCGCCAATTCTTCGCCAATGAGCGATTTCGAAAACTGTGCACTTGCTTTCGTGCATTTTTGCAACCATAACGCTTTATAGGAGAAGCTATCGTTCGCGCTGACATTTCGTAAATTAGATTTATTAGTCAGGGGAATTTTCCAGAAGGATTATTAATTCGTTTTGGCATTTTGCATTTATTCCCTATAGCATTGTTTACTATTCAAATTGTTGCCACAACAAATACCCTTATTATCTTAAAGAAATTAAATAACGAAGATCTGCTAAATTAGTGCTGCTCGCATGTGATGAACACATACCTACATCAAATTTTGAATACGCGAATTTTGCATGAAGCCGATTTGAATTGTTTTGTTATCAATTTCATGTTTTAAATCTTTAACGAATTTTTATTAACAACTCAAGGATTTCAAAGCGACAATGGCGACGTTTTACAGAATAAATAAAAAAAAAAAAAATAGAAGTTTTAATTAAATTACCGTGTGGGAGTTTTTTTCACCTTTGTATGTTCCTTTATTTTTTAAGTACATGTTCTGCATTGAACCTAATTTCAGTTCATAGCAATGTCGCAAAATATTTAAATGAGCCTACTTTAATTCCGATACACAGTTCCGCGCGCTGGAGATAATTTTTTTTTTTCTGTACACGTTGCTTTTATCGCTTTGAAATCCTTCAGTTTGTTAATAAAAATTCGTTAAGTTTTAAAAAATATGAAATCGATATAATCAAATTTGGTCTTCACAGGCCAATCGCAGTAGATTACGTCATTCAAATTCGATGGCCTTGTACGGTGTTTATCACAATGCGAGAAATATACACACATTTATGCGACTTTCCATTATTAATTCTGCAAATATATGCAGGAATCTACATTGGGGCAACAGTTGAAAAGTGAAAACGGACATTATAGTGATTCAACGCAAATCGCAAACTAAAAAATAGTCCTTCATTGACAAAGCCCTTTGGGGGCTTGTTCTGGAAAAAAAAAAAAAAAAAAAAAAAAAAATCTGAATGTTTCGATTTTAAATTATTCCAAGGGCGTTTAAACATTTGTGTTACCTTCTTATTAAATATCAAGTTCCTCGCACTTAAACATAAGATCCAGTCAACAGCATATCGCAAATAGTTTTAACACGAGCATATCTTTAATTTCGTACGACTCACACGCTGGAGATAAAAATGTTTTTCTGCAAACGTGCCATTGCTCCTTTGAAATCCTTGAGTTTGTAACAAAAATTCGTCAAAGTTTTAAAAAAAGAATCGTCTAAACAATTTCAAATTTGGTCTTCACATGCTCATATTCGTTGGAGGATTACGTTATTCAATTCGATGACTCTATGTACCGTTATTTTATGACAAGTGAGAATATACATACATTACGCTGATTTTCATTATTTAATTTCTTCAAATTAATGCAGTACTCTAACATTTGAGCAACAGTTGAAAGTGAACCGCATTTATCCGCGACGCAAAATGCCAAACGAAACTATATCCTTCGGGTCAAATCCCTTTGGACTAAAAAAAAAAATTGTCTCTAGTGCGAAAGACTGTGTATTGGAAATTTTAAAGATATGCTCATTTAAAAACTATTTTGCCATATTGCTCTTGAACTGAATTTTATAGTTTAAGTGCGAAAAGCATGATATTTAATAAATAAAGGCAACACACAAAACTTTAAAAAAATGCCCCATTGGGCGAAATGTAAAATCCGAAAGCTTTCAGATTTTTTATTTATTTATTATTATTATTTTAAAGTCTCTAAATCTGGAAACAAACTTTTTGTCAGAATAACTTTTCAAATGATTGCCACCAAATGTTCGCGCGATGTATTATTTAAAAAAATTAAGTAATGAAGAAACTGATGATGATGATGAATATGTTTTATGCACTGGGGAAAATTGGTGGCACCTAAAGCTGCGAAACTCATCACAGGCATATCGTCTTCTATCCAAACACGTGCACCTGAAGCCTGAATTTTGAATTTCGAATTTTTTTTTAAAAAATTATTTCATGTTTTGTTCGAACTTAATGAAATTCTGATTAACAAAATCAGCGATTTAAAAGAAACGTGTTGCTTCTCTCAAAGCGTAAGATATTTGTTTTTTAAATTAAATAACGAACGATCTAAAATAATTGTGTTGCCACTGCCCGAAATAAAATATTTTTATCTTCACGTGCACAGTGTGTACGCATTGAGCAAAATATGACATATATAATTTTTGTTTCAATTTTAATTTACCTGTTACTGATTAGCATACTAAGCAATTTAAGGAAACAAACGCAATTCTGCGTTTCTGTTAGTATTACTAGCTGGACTCATCAGATGACGCTAGCTGGACTCATTATAATCCAGTTTGCATATTTTCGTTTGTATAATAACTAATATTTTAGACAGATAGATGTTAGGAACTAAATCAATTCGAATATTTCCTTCAAAATGAAGTAGTAATTACAGAATAATATTTTGTGAGCAGATATCATTCCTAGAAAAATAACTTTTACCTTCGGACCTACAGAACCAGGAAGGCCCAACCCTGGTGACCCAGGAGGTCCAGGCGGGCCCTGCAAACATACAGAAAAAAAATTGCGATCAAAATAATTTATCAACAATAGTCTAAAAATCCATAGAAATACAAAATAAATACATACAGAAATGACACAGACTCGAGATTTTAAGTGAAATTTTCAAACGAGCAAATTCCTTACCCGATCTCCTTTTATGCCAGGAAGACCATCATTTCCTCTTACCACAGATTCTAAATGTTTTAAAGATATGTTACACATGCAAGGTTCTCCTGCTGAACCACGATGTAAAAGACCTGGAAGCCATTCTCGTGGGCTCTGCAAAGAAACAATTATTTCATATTTCCAACTGAAGAAGTCAATTTTAGCACGAAATAGTCTTACTATTAGATAAAAGGCTTACTGCTCGATTTTCATACTTTCGGATTCTGAAATATCACCGTCTATACCGTATTTTAAGGACTGTAAGACGCACCCTTATTTTTAAGCAATTATTTTAAAAAATAACTTTTTAACCATTTTTATTATTAGATTGCGAAGCCAGACTAAAAAAAAAAATTCTTAGTTTATAAAACCAAACTGATCTTTAAAATGTCATCTACATCTGAATGTTATTGTCTGTCATCGTCACAAAATCGTCATCTGAACTTAATTCTTCTTCCTCTTCATCGTCATCGTTGTCATCTTCATATACAAGCTAGTCTTCACTGCCACCTTATACCCGCAACATGTAGCACCAACCAACTCCACCCTTAAAGTCTGTTAAGTTCCATTGTAGCGCTAGCTTATGAGTGTGTATTTGAATTATTTTTGTATTAATTCCACTGCCATTTTGACGGTGTCCTTGAATCCATTTCAATACATCATCTTCTAGTTTTGGCTATTTTTCATTCAGCCCTCTATTTGCACATTTAGTCGTTCTCCGTTTTTTTTTTTTTTTTTTTTTTTTTTTTTTTTTTTTTTTTCAGTTCTTTACTAGCTTTCCAATCGCGAATGTTTTTTTTTTTCTGCTAGTGAAATGCCTAAATGCCGCTGGCTGCTCTATTTCCATGTTCTTCTGCATATGCTATTATTTTCAATTTATAGCCCGCATCATATGAATGCTTTTTAATTTTTCCATTGTGAAGCTAGCTACTAACAAAAATATTGTACTGTTACCGATAACACAAATCACTTTCAAGTTCACTGGCACCGTAGATATCAATGACATATCATAGGCCAGATAATGTTCTGGGTTTGTGAAAGCAGGGCAGGAGGGAGACAGTATTGCCAGTTGCAGCCAGTTGAATTCAACGTTGTCAGATACAGATAAGTTTCCAACGGCATCGAATACATGCCCATTTTTAAGACTGGCGGGAATTTTAAATCAAATACAGGACATTTTTATATTAATTTCGAATATAAGAAGCACATGAATTTTGGAGGCAATTTTTTGAAGAAAAAAGTGCGTCTTAGGGTCCATAAAGTACGGTATTTTTTACTGTTCACAACTTTAATAACAGGTTTTAGATAAGGCATGAATTTTTAATTGCTCTTTGCGGTTTCAAATTATATATAATATAGCGCACGCTATTTCAGCAGGCGTAATCTGTAGAACCGTTAAATACATTATTAAGGGATGCCTTCGTGGAAGACTTTCTGATAGAAAGTGCCTCGTTCTCACGTTGCTGCTCGGGGAAAGAAAGAAAACCAACCACACAGCCAGCCCATTTACCTGAGTTCGAACCCAAAGCAGATTGAGCTACTAGAATTCAGCAGTCTTAATCAATAGACAATTAGTAGGGCGCAGAAGAAATAAATTCTATATTTTTCACAATGAATATTTGACGAAGTGAAATTTGATACTGCTGTATGGTTCATGTGACAGCAACGTAATAGATTTGCGGCTGCAGTAAATCACCATTGCGGCAATGAAGGAACTTTTCCAGTGGAATTACTTCCCCATTTGTCGAGGAATGAGTATTACAGCAATATTACAGAGCACAGCCCAAAAGACCAGTCCGTGCGGCCGTACGGCTCCACTTTGACTGATTTGACTCTGTGCTCTGGGAAGTGACTGTACTTGCATGATCACGTTAGCTCTTCCAGCTTCAGATTGTGAGCTGCTATTAGACCTTTTCGATAATGTGTTTGTTAATTTTAATTGTTATTAAATGGTCAAGTTTTAATTTCTTAACTTTATGGCTAGCATCAATTAATGGATTTGATTAATTAATTTATTAAGACAATCTTAATTTTCGTGTGTGTTCTAAATCAGCGTGCCAAACTGGTGATCTGAAAATGATCCACACTTGTGACCCAGTGCTAAACCAGCATGTCAAAGATTCCGAAATATTAAGTGATTAAAAATACCAAATTTTGCGTATTCCGCAGATCGGTTTTGATATATTTTTAATCATTAAGCACAATCGTAGAATTACTGTGCACATAGTTTTCTATTTTCATTACCTATTCTATTACATATTATAAGCTTTTCATTCTTATAAATATGTAAAAAATAAAATTTATGAAATCATTTCCACTGCCCGCAGATATAACCCGACAATATGGCACTAATAAACTCCCGACAGTTGCAGAGTATTAGAATTTTATTATATTTTGAAATCTTTTCTTTTAATCTCCACTGATAAATCCAAGAATATTTCACAGATATTGACATTTTGAATTCCTGAGTGATGAGAGAAAATATATGAGCGAAATAATTCTACCTTTATTTCTCTGTAATTAATTTAGGACAAGAGAGAAACACTCGTCTCACATTTTTCTATCATTTTGAATTTTGCATTTCAAAAGCAGAGAATCAAATAAATTGTTGAGAGATGCTGTATATTTAATACGCTGCGACTTTCTTTGCTTAAACTCTGAAAATGCACTTACACCAGTATCAGGTAGAAAAGGGCGCATCTAAAGGGATCAAAAAGCAATTTTTGCTAATTTAGAAAGGTGTGTCCTGTACTATTACGAATGCACTTTGCATATTTTTTATTATCAAAGAATACACGTTAATACTTATTAAGCTAAGAAGAATTACAATTTAAAGAGCAAAATAAGAGCACGAAAAAGACAGCAGCTCACAGGACCCCTTTATTTGGGTAATATATCAATCTGGATAGGCTTTGCGTATGATCATGAGCTCGCATCAAGACACTAGGTTACAGTTTGCTCTCAGATGCTCAGTTATTTGAGAGTTATTGCTTTAAAATTTTTCTCTCTCTATTATAAATAATTCATATAAATAAATTTCTCTCAGAATTATAAAGAACAAAAGTCAATAATAATAATTAATAGTAAGAGAAATAGCAGTAATCACACCGTCATCTTATTTCTTCTTTCACCAGCGACCGAGCGGTAAAGTCGCGAAACACTGGTTCGGTGCCAGCTCGAATCCCGGCGAACGAGCTGGTTGCATGGGCGTTCATGGTTTTACCCATGTGTAACATGTATACGAGGCAGTTCCCTTAGAAACTCCTCCAGGAAAGCATCCCTCCCCTTATGTAGATTGCACTTGAAATAATAAAACCATTTCTGAAATTCCATAAATAAACCAAATAAATTCATTTCTTCTTTCTGATAGCTCTACTAGCTCAGCTCCAATTGTTTAATTATTATTTTATTTATTTACTTTAAACAAAATTCACACTGTGCAAGTCTTTAAAGATTTTACATCAAACTGAAATTTTTGAGGAACTGATAACACTTTTGTCAGCATAGTTTTAGATATTTGATCAAATTAAAACAGATCTAAAAATTTTCCCCTATCACATCGCGTTTATTGATATCTTTTTTGGGATATCTATAAATACTTCATCGTTAATCACTTGTTGCCCTTCTAATTTTCTTCCGCGAAAATCTACAAGAATACTGCAAAGTCTGTGAATTAGATTTCATTGAAGCTTTCCACTTTTAAAAGTTTTCATCAACTTTTGGTTTTAATTCCAGTTCCACACTTCTCAAAGCATTTAAAATTTTGAAGTCATTATCCTTTATTTATTAAAAACTAAATCACTGCCATTTAGTAGTTCCTTATCTTTCTGAAAAATTAGCGGCGTCATAATTAGTCTTCATTAATTTTTATTTTTGTTTTGCATTTGATTGACGAAATTTAGTATAAAGGTCAGAATATTTACATAAATTATATATTATTATTAAATATTTAGTATAAAGGTCAGCGTTTAAATTATCTAACATTAAACTTAAAGTTATCATTAAATTTTAAAGTTGCTATAATTTTACATAATTAAAAAACTCAATTTGTCAAACATAATATGATTCATAAAATTAATTAAAAGATTAAACTCACAGTTAATTATAAATTATAATTCTTAAAATTAATGATTTTAATTATTATTTTATGTATATTTATTTATATACCTCTGATAATAATTTCTAATTTTAATTCCTTAACTTTTATTTGAAATGTATTTGTCTTTTATTTAAATATTTATATAATCAAAATAATATTAAAATTTTTGATAAAAAATCACATCTATTGCGGAAGTTTTCATTCACCCCTTTCATATGATAAATCATTGCAAAATTTAAACAATATTAAAAATTTTATTCAAAAACGAAAATTTAGTTTATTCTTTTTATCCCCAAAATAAAATTTTGTTGATTTTATAATGCTTTTAAATATTATCGAAAGTGCACAGGCAACAAGAATCCGCGTATTATTCCTAAATTTGCAGGACTTACTTCGAAGGTTTAAATACAGAACCTTCATCTTCAAATGAAAGAAGTGCAAACGAAGAAATCTATGAATACTACACCGTTTCTTGTAGCCTTATCTCCTCCAATAATCGTTATTTGGTGTGTTATTTTAACTCGGATGCTTTTTAAACACAAAGCTTCTGTAAGATCTTTTATAAAAAATTAAAGCAAGAAAACGTATTTAGAATCCTTAAGAATTATGATCCAATTTTCTATATACTGGATCTGATATTTTAAGTAGAACCCTGTTAGTTGGCTCTACACCTTTTTATACTGAATTCTATTGGTGGAATCTTTAGAAAATCTGCAAAAATTTCATAGAATCACTACAAATACCTACAGAGAATCTCTATATATAACTATATCTAAGCTATATCTAAAATGTTCTAGAATATATCTGCTTTATTTATAGAAAATTGCGCCATAATTCCATTGTTATTATTGCAGCTAATCTCACTTGCCTGATCTAATTAGAACAAGCCCACTAATTTTTTTACCACAAGGAATGCATGATGGCATGAGCCTTAAGCTCAAGGTAGGTAGCAGTACGACACTGTGCAGCAGTTATGCTCCAATCTGGAAAAAGAGCTCTTCGTGAGATGGGTCCAAGGATCCCCCCCCCGTTTTCTTAAAGAGGTCTTTCGGTTCGCCGTGTATTTTGAGTCATCCTCCCATTCTTCAAACACTATATATTTACAAAGATCCATGCTTTCTTCGGGATTCGAGCCCAGACCCATCGTGCAACAGTCAGCGTTATTATCCACTAACCCGTCTCGGAGGCTCCAAAACTCTAAGGGAGTAACTCGCGGCTGGGTTTTTTTATAGATATTTTATTATTTTTTTAATAAACATTTGCGTAGGAAAAGTTACCTGCTTATACTCTTCTAAAACCATCATTTTACAAATGAATTTTAATTATTAAACATTAAACTCTTCTTTTCTGCAGATATAGTTAAATCGCGGGAGAAAGTTGTGAATCATTGAAAACTGTTTGGCAGTATCTTTTACCTGATCGTCGCCGGATCCAAAATCTCCTTCATTCCAAATTTCAGAATTTCCTCCAAGAAATCCGCCGTTGCCTCGGGGTGGAACAAAAATACATTCACCCTAAAAAAACAGAATTATTCTTTAAAGAACTATGAATAGTATAATTTCTAAGTGAAGAGAATCATCTTATTTTATATGTGGTCTCAATTTACTATAATAAGTAGTCTCAGAATAATTGTTACGTAGCTCAGGATTAGGGACATAATTTTCACACATTTGCTTAAATTATTGGGCTTATAAGTTTTAAACTTTCACACTTCTTTTCGTTTCTAATAGTTCAAGAAATAAATTAAGGGAAAAATACTATTTCTTTACTGCAAATAAAACTGCTCAAATGTTGTTTACGAGTGCCTGCTACGCTAATTTTATGCTGTTTGAAGTTACATATATGAGTGCACAATATGTGTTGATTCTGCTGGGTATTCATTTCTTCGGTTCCTCAAAAGCAAGCAATATAATCGGATAATTTTACAAATTTAGCATCTTATTTTAAGAAACCTCGAATATTTAATTTAACTCACCAGTGGTTTTGTGGTTACGCATGAAATTAATTTTTTTCAAAATTGCAACCTAATTGCGAACATAAATAATTAGAATATAATTTCGTGAAATGCTAACATTTTCATTGATAAACGATAATACTTTCATGGTTATTTAATTATTTAGATAATTATTATAAGAGCTTGATTACAAAGGGAAAATGCATTAAATCTATTTTCAGAAAAATTAAGAAGTATATTGATTTTAGCAAATCTTAAGAAGGAGTATATGGTATTTCTTCCGTCTTCTAAGCATGGCTTTATGGTGTAAGGGTCAGCACGCTCGGCACGTATTGAGAGGTCCGTGGTTCGAGTCCCGACGACGGCATTGCTCATTTTTCATCTCTCCTGCTTTCAAAATAAACTTAATGTCCCTACAGGAGAAGAAATATAAATTACTCAGCACTAACTATAATACAAAGGAATAAGTGGAGAAAAAAGGAATCATACATTTTTTTCATTTACTATAACATTTCGGAAACAGGATCTTTGATCATGCCATAATTATCATCACACATTAAAAATTAGAGTTTAAATTATGTAATAAATTAAACGAATACCCTCCCCTTCTAGTCCTGTATTTTGCCTCATCGTGACGAGAGGATGACTCTGGGTGGAATGGGTGAAGTACGTCTGGAGGGTATTCTGGTATGGTCATCCAAGCCGTGAAGGCCCTCATATAGGTACGTCACTGCTCAAGGCGCACTTTAAGCTGGCCCTCCGAGGGTACAAAAGATGACCACCCCTGATCTACCTTTAGATCATGTTAGGCGGCTCAGGTTGGTCAATACTCAATATAAACGTACAGGTATACTTCAAATAAAACATACTTAATAAGAAATTAAATTTTCACGGTTGCTTAGTTTAAAATAAACAGAATTATGAAATCTACCATATATCATATTTTAGAAAGTATTGGATCAAATCTCTTAGCACACACACGTAGAAATTAATGAACTATGTAAATCAAAAGATTTGCAATACAAACCTTAGGTCCTTGAGGTCCCATAGGACCAGGTAGTCCTGGAGACCCGGGATCCCCTTTGTCTCCTTTTAACTTTGGCTGAAGTTTCAACAAATCCTTTTCTGTAATGTGTGCAGAATCGCCCTAGTTTAAGCAGAATCAATCAATAAAATGCCGGTGATTTTATAATATATACAGCAACAGAAAAAAGTTTGAAAAAATGTATTTTTAGCTAATAAAGAAAATAAAGCCCAAATAATGAAAATGAAATGAGCAGAAAAGTTTACTGATTAAAAAGAAACATTAACTATGTCAGAATTTTGCCAGTCATGATTAATACAAGTTTCAGATATACCTTTAGTCCAGGTTTTCCATGTCTACCAGGTCGTCCTTTTTGACCCTTTGGTCCCGGAATTTCTTGAAAATCGGAAATAAAAAGTTTAGAAATTGAGAAACGAAATAAATGCGGACAATAATAAATAAAATTTTTTAAAATTTAAAACGCATTAAAAAGAAAGCATGATCTTCAAAAAAAAAGTCTGAAAAACTGTTAGTGGTACATGGTCACAACGGTTTTGCAATGAAATGATTTCATAGCACACTTTTAGTTTAAAAAAGTGTTTATTCTTTTTATTAAATTTACATTAAAATGATTAACTCATAATGTTTTATATATTACAATGCATCACTGAATCTGGTCCCTTCTGAATGAAATACGGGAAGTTTTTAATGGAATATTATAAACATTCAGAAAATAAGCATGACAGAAATAATAATAGTGATTACAAAGATATAACGGGTATTTCAAAAAAGTTTGCATAGTTAAGTATCCCTTGAACGATTGGTCGCATATTGGTACCAATTTAAAAACTGAATCAGATAAAACAGACATTTAAAACATAAATATATGGATCATATAGCCAATTTTCCCGTAAACATAACAGTTTTATTAATATTTTTTCAGGTAATCTTAATCATAGGACAATCATAGGAACTGTTCACCCCCAATCCGGCTATAAAATTACGTTTCTCAAAGCCTTTTTGACGGATATATACATAAAAACAATAGTTAAATTTTACTAAAAGGTATCACGTCCGAAAATTTTCACAGGCTAAAGCCTTTTTAGATTCCTTTTATTATCTGAAGGCAAAGGTTTGTTAGCGTTCAGTTGCTTCCTGTAGCGTTCACACTATTAGCATTCACACTTTTCTGTACCATATATGCGATTTCCTACACCATGGATAAAAAAAATCCCAGACAAGTTTTCTTGAGAACACATTATTTGACTAAATTTGAACACAATCTTTTTCGAAATAGTCACTTCGAGGAGCATTGCACATGTCCCAATGCTCCTACTACCATTAAAATGCTTCATCTTTCTATTTATGATGTAATCGACGACTACCACCACAAACGGTCGCAAAAACGCTACTATATTTCTTGACACGTTAAGATGAGCAACAGATTAAAAGCTTTGGCTCACTGAACTGCTTTTTTTTTAACTCATCGCTCACCAACAACAATAAATTTAAAGAAAAAGATCGAAAACGAAGGGTGCATAAGAATGGTTAGCGTATATGGAACGAAGAGTAGAAAATATCGAATGAGCAATGGGTTCAGAAGAATCGATTCAGTCAAATTCTAACTGCCTGGATATATTTCTTTCAACAGTGGTTTTGAGATTCCTTAAAAGCTCCTCGCTGCAAAGAAGTACCAACAAAATTAGAGAATAAAAAAAATTCAAAAAGTTGGGAAATTATATAAATTAAATTCAAGTTTAATATGGGAGTATAAATTTCGTTGCTCCCATAAAATGGAAATCGAACTTTCCTCCAACAAGAACTCCAGGTGGTAAACTCTAAATGAGCAACCGCTCTTTTTTTGTGAAACAAAAGAGCACGCTCTCTCAGTAAAGTGAATCGGTTCTTTGAATCAGTTCACGAAGGAATAGTACATATCTACACACTCTATTTTATTAAGAATACACTCTAGCTTATTGAGTTACTATATCTGCTACTGAACATTGTGCTGCCATTTGTTGGCATGCTAGTCATTTGAGAACGTTTGGATACCAGCAGCATTTAATTTTAAACTGTAGTAAAATCCTTTCAAAAATGATAAATTCTTCCACTTCATATTACTTTTTGAGATGCATCCTTTTCTTAACACATCACTTTTTTTATTCCCTTTTAAAATACTAAATAATATTTAGTAAAGTATTATTTCCTCTAAACATTAATATTTTGCATAATTAGAACATTAAAATTAGGGTTTCCGCTATCGCTATCTTTTTTTGTAAATAATCTTAAATATTATATCCCTTCAAAATATTCCATTTTTGTAAATAAAGAAGAAAATGTAATATGTATTAATTAAATAACGATCGCATAGCGAGAAAGAATGTTAAAAAAGAATTTTTATCCCTATTTCTATTTTCTGGTTCGAAAAAGTTAAAAAAAATATATGTGATAAAATAGATAGTTCATCCTTTCGCTTTTGTTTACTTGTTTTAGGAACTTGATCAGAACAAAGAAATATCAGCACTTTATAATAACTTTTAATTTATGTCTACTTTACAATTTTCTATTAGAATATATCTTGGAATTTGAGCAGATACAAAATCTAAAATGCCTAAAGAATTCAAACATGTGTTTATTTGCAATGTGCTACAAAATCTAAAACGCCCAAAGAATTCAAACATGTGTTTATTTGCAATGTGCTACGTTAGGAGTTTTAACAAATACAAATTTCCATAGCATATATATGCATAAATAATATATAATATTCAATATTTTTGGCGTTTAAACAGAGACAAGAGAACAGAAGCTTTTCAAGTTGTCAAATATTTGCTTTTTTAGTCAATTTTTACCTGTGGTCTATTCAGATTCTCAGCTCAATCACTTTCAGTTTCATAAAATTAGAACAAAAGACCAGAGGCAAAGGAAAAAGAGACAAAATCATAAAAAGGAAAGTTTTTGGCAACATTAAAAAGAGCGATTTCAGGTTTAGAAAGCTGTATTTTCAATTTTTTTAAGCACTAAAGATTTATGAGGAAAACATATACTAGTTCCCGATGAAAAATCTCTATATTTAATATTAATATGGCAGGAAAATTGCACCAAGAAGGCACGTGGGTAGAAAATTATAGTGAATAGTTCGGGATGGGTCAAAAAAGTTAAGTTTTTGGCTGCAGGGGGTGCAATATTTTTCTTCTATAACAGCAATCTTCTCGAAACAGAAGCCACCGTAAGACAAGCAAGATGCCTTGATTAAAGCGGTGAGTATAAACTAAATAGAAGGGCCAACAAAGGAGAGTATTACTGTAAAGTTAATCTAAGATAGGCATATGAAATGTAGGTAAGGACCTGTAAAATTTATTATATACAAAGGCAGAGTATGAATATATAGTAGCAGGCCACGTAACTACAGAGGCACTTACATGGAGCATATTCGAATTTTTTTTGGGGTGGTGGTGGAAGGTTGAATTCAAACACTGTTAATTTATAACAAAATTTTATGCGATGCTTTACAGCAGGGATATCAAAATCAAAGCAATATCTTATATCTGTATGATTATAATGAATAAAGAATGTGGCTCTATTGAAAATTCTTTGGCTGCTCCTTGAAAAAGATCAAGGGATTTTCAACAATTAGTTATATTATTTTTATTACTTCATTTTATTGATTTGTTTAGTTTTTGTTTCCAGTTTGATGTATGTACTTCCTGTTAGACTGTTAACCCTTTTTCGATTTAATTATAACTCCTGTTTATTATAGACGCAAGAAATTAATCTTTATTGATTATTTATGTATATACCCAAAAGCTTATTACTTCTTGATTAATTATGTATATACCAGGGATATTATTATCTCTCAATTACTTATGTATATGTACCAAATAATATTACCTCTTGATTATTTATGTATGGACCCTTAATGTCTTGATTATTTATGTATGGACCCTTAATGTATGGACATAACTCCTTTACTACCTGATGTTACGCGCGACGTGTGTGTAGGGTGTATTGCGTGTAAATTTGGAAATTAAAAATTTAATTGTCTTGAACATGATTTAATTGAAAATTTCTTTATTTCAATAATACTCTATTGTGTTTTCTACAATCTTTGTCTCTACATTTGATGTTTATTTCTGAAACTTATAAATTGTTTCCTTCTCTATCTAGATAAAATTATGAGATTCTTCCTTTCAGTTCAATTTTTTTCTGACTTTTTTAGGTGTTTAAAATAGCTTACAGATAGTTATCAAAATATAATTATATAACGCAAAAGAAAAAGTTCAAATTTATATTTATTTCTGACCTGAAATCTAAATGTTAAAGCTTGAGAATAAATAATGACAGCTCTGTTTCCTTAATTTACTAATATTTTTTTTCATATGCGTAAGATAAAAACATATGAATCAAAACTATAACCTACATCAGTAATAGCCCCTTAATTGTTTACTTCAATTTGGGCATTTCACTTTTCAATTCTAAAAATAGAAATTTCTTAATAACTTTTTATGGACTGTGCCATTTCTAGATTAATCTATATCGTATGACGTTTTCTTTACATAACCACGACGATACGTAAGTGATTCGAACCAAAACCTTTCTCTTAAACTAAGCTTCCATATTGAATAACTACGCACTTCATTTCTCTACCTCAGTACATCAACGGACGATGTAGGTACATCAATGGAAAATCATCTATAGGGTGGCCAAAGTGCGGCTCACGAGCCTGATCGGTTACAGCCGAAAACATCGCGGCAAAAACATCGCAGACGAAAACGTCGTGGAAAAAACAACGTAAGGCGAAAACGTCGTGCTACAAAATATCGTGGGAGAAAACATCGCAAAGAGAAAACATCGCAGTTCTAAAACATCGTGGTACAAAACATCGTCGTCGAAAATAAAGCGGTTCAAAAACTTCGCAGTTTAAAAACATCGTCGTCGAAAATATCGTGGTTAAAAATAAAGTACCTACAAATTATCGCATGACGATAACATCGCAAACATGCTTTTTTCGGGCTTTGATAACTATACATGGATATTCCGTAATGATTTGTGAGCACAAGATGGAAAGAAGGATAATTTATACTTTCATATTTTTATTAATAAATACATTTTTGCTGAGAAAATAAAAAGGAAACTTAAGCATAGAAAATTAATGCAACTTATAGCACTTAATAGAATTTTAAACCGACATAGCTAACTAACAAAGGCCATTAATAAATAATTTTTTATAAAGTTTTTACTGGTAATTTTTCACGAAAAGTATAATCTATAAGTAGCATTTAGTTTTCTATGCTTAAGTTTCCTTCTTACTATTTCATCAAAAATTTATTAGTTAATAAAAAAATGTGAAAGTAAAAACTATCCTTCTTTACATCTTGCGCTCATAAATGATT